AACGTGACACCCTGATATACAATAAATGTTAAAGAACTGTATGCATCTTACAATCAGTTGGAGATGTTTGCTGGGGTCACACAGAAAGATGCTACTTAGTTTCTCTATATTTCTCAGCTCGAAATAGTGCAAATTGAGTCCACTTTAAAGGTTAGGGTTAGGGTTAGGGCTAGGGAATCATGAGAACTGTATTTTATTGTGGCACCAGAGCTGTCTGACAGAGAAGGCTCAATGTCTCAGGAGAGAAAAAAACAATTCCCATGATTCCCTAGCACTAACCCTAACCCTTAAAGTGGACTCAATTTGCACTATTTCTGGCAGTCTGCAAAGACCCTAGTCTCCTAACAAACAACTATTAGGCCTTCTTTACCAAGATACAAGATATAATTGTTTTTCTGGATCAAACCAAATATCCATTTAATTCAGTTCTTTTTGTCTTTTTGTAAGGACAAACCAAAGGCCTCCAGAGGGCCTGGTAGATAAACTAGGAAAGCCATTTGCCATTGTTTGTTCCAGGCATAGCTATGAGTGTATGGTCTTCAAACAGGACATTTCCTGTTTGTAGAGAATTCGGACTGCATATGTTATTGGGAATGCTCAAAGAACTGTCTAAAGAAAGTTCACATATGTCATCCATTATTTAAAAAAAAGATTTCCATGATAAGATATTAGCTCAAATACTTTATGGTTCACAGCTGTATATATACCAAGACCTTCATCCAATGGAAACAATATAATCCAAATTTGTGAGAAATATCTTGAGTGCAGCCTCAATGTCTTGCTTAGACTGGAAGCTGGAATAGTTTTAGAAGATTGTATCTGCCTCTACATAATTTGTTATTTACTCAAATTAAATCTTTATCCTATCAGACCAAACTCCCTGATTTTATTAACTATTTTGCATCTGAATGAGAGCTGATGAGGAGAAATTATAATGATATTTCATCCCTCACCTTTATTTATTATATTATTTATATCCCATCCTTCTCCCAGGACTGGCACTCAGGACTGCTAACATTAAAAACAATACAGTTAAAAACATACAAAAATAATACATTTAAATAGAATTAAACTACGCCAATAAAAAAAAATTAAAAAGATAAAAATGTTTAAAACACATTTAAACAATATAGCATTGTTTAAAAGTTTCTGCTTTGAATGCCTGCCTGAAAAAAAGGAAGGTTTTCACCTATTGGTGGTAAAAGGATCTTTCCATAATGAAAAGGAGCATTTTGGTCTCCCTAGATGGGGAGTTCCAGAATCTAGGGGCAGCCACAGAAAAGGTCCTCTCTTGTGTCCCCACCAACCATGCTTATGATGGTGGTGGGATGGAGAGAAGGGCCTCTCCTGAGTATCTCAAGCTCCATCTGGCTCATACAGGGAAATACAGGCTCTAAGCAGACGGGAGGCCATGGGCCACCCCGAGAAACCATGGATTGGGGCCGAGGTAGCCACACCCCTCAGCCCTGATCCACTTCTTTTAGGGCCCTGGAAGGAACACTAAAATAGCGCTCCTTCCGCAAGGTGTAGAAGGTGTGCCGCAAGAGGCGTTGGGCACCTCTTCGGCGCCTCTTCTGTCGCAGCATGTCTGGATGCTGCAGCAGAAGGACGTCATTGGAGCGCCCATCATGTGGAGTGGCAGGCACTCCGATGACATGTTCGGGAAGGGGTTGGGGCACCCAGCGTGAGGCTGCCCCTCCCCTTCCTTACCTCCAAGACAGCGCAAAGCGCCATCTGCAAAAGGGGACAGTCTGCCAAATATCCTGGACCTGAGCTATAAAGGGCTTCAAAGGTCATCACCAGCACTTTGAATTGTGCCCAGAAACAAACTGGCAACCAGTGGAGCTGTTTCAACAAGGGCATTGTATGATCTCTGTAACCTGTTCCTGTTAGCAGCCTGGCTGCAGATCTTTCGACCTGCTGAAGTTTCTTCAAAGGAAGTCCCACGTAGAGTGCATTGCAGTAGAACAAATGGGATGTAAACAAGGCATGTACCACTGAGCCCAGATCCAACATCTCAAGGTACTTTGCTACACCTGGGGTTCCTGAGAGCCAAAGGAATAATGAAACAGTACCTATGAGTTTTTCAGAAAGATAAAGCATGGATTTTAAACCACCCAGCAACTGGGAATTATAGCAAAACCTTTGTTCTGGCCTATTATCTTTATGCCCTAGAGAACTCTAAATACCATGGAGCTTTCACCTTCACTCATTTTAATGCTGTACCATCAGCTCTTTTAAAGAAGAAATACTTGGGTATTCTCGAATGTGTCTGTCCTTGTCAATCAGGCATGGCTGGAAAAGTTGAGCATGTGCTATTATACTCTCTATACCACAAGGACATCCATTCTTTATATATTACTCCTATTTCCAGGCAATTCTGATAATTTCAACTCTCTTTCTTACCCTTCTTCTTTCAGACTCCATTAATGAAATTACCTTAAGAGTGACAAAATTTAGTGTTTTGGTGTACTCTGCTCTGAATCAGCTGCTTAAACCTTCATAGTAACCATACCAGTATTAGGAAACAGAAATAGGTACCCCCATCTAAGACAGTTATGCTTATATAATTGTGTGCCTATATTTGCCATTTGCACTTGTTTACTTTGTAATTGTAGGGGCTAGTCTATTGCCATAATAAAGGTTATGTATGTATGTTTATTTATGTAGGTAGTTCCAATTTTGAATGTTACAAATTTCTCTTATTCGTCTTTGTAAACTCAAAGGAAGTCCTCTTCCTGTCCTATGACAATGAATCCCATTAGTTCCTTTATTGATATTTTGGTGAAAGCACCCCCCCCCAAAACAAAATCTCTCTGACTTCATTGTTATTTCCTTTCTCCCATCCACCTTTCTCCACTCTTTTCTAGACTTAAAAAGCTCAATAGTCTTCATTTAGAGAGGAAAACACTCTACACCCCTGATGAATGTATTACCCCCAAAAGTTGAGAACATGTAACCATTTGCTATACCTACAAAAATTATACTTTCTCCTTGTTGTATAGGGGTAACAAAATTCCCACAATTAAACAAATAAGAGCATACCATGGATTTATATACTGTCATACTGATACTTACTGTTTTATTTTCAATCTCTTTCCTAATAAATCCTATCAGTGAATTTATTGCTGCAGCATTTGGGCTGACATTTTCCATGCCCTTTCCTGCAATGACCCCAGATTGCTTTCTTGGGTGGTTACAGCCAATTTAAAGTCTACCAGAATATATATGAAATCTAAAAATTAATAAAGAAATTTCCTTAATGGGTATCACACTGCACTTACCTGTATTGCCCTTTCACCCAGTTTAGAGAGACATTTTAGAGGTCTTAACAATCAATTTGGGATTCATTCACTCTGAATAATTTGTTATTGTTGGCAAACTTTTCTAGCAAACCATACGAGATTACAAAAAACTTCGAGGAAGCTGTGTTAGATATTGGAGGGGAGAGAGAAGAAAATCCATATTAGGATAATATCTTTTATTAGATCACAAAACACTGTGCAGTGTTTTTTTTAATTCTCTAGGACTTTCCATGTGGCACAAAAAGCTAGACAACATTAGTTTGGATTAATTTTGAAAATATAATTTATGTTTTAAATTTAAATTATGCCCATGCTATGGGTTCTTTAATGGAGTCTGATTTTTTTATTCTACCACTTTCTGAAACAGACCTAGTGCAAACAGGCCTACCTCTATTTTCCCCCATGAAGGAATCTATGGATTAATTTTAGGATGACAACAATTTTGAGTAACAGCTAATTTTATATTTTTTAAAAAAATGCGGGATCAATATCTTTTTTTCCCATAGTGTTGATTATGGGAAGCATGTGACTCCCTCATTTATAAAAATGTATAGCATCATGAACTATATGATCTAGGCCAGGGGTCGGCAGCCTACGGCCCGTGGGCTGGGTGTGGCGCTGCCAAGGGAAGCCTCCTGGGGGGGGCCTTAGTAGTGCTGGGCCTCCCGGAGGCCCAGTGCTGCTGAAGGAGGCCGCCTGGGGGACCCCCGCAGCATCACTGGGCCTATTGGAGGTCGGACGTTGCTGAGGGAGCCCTCCTGGGGGGCGGATGCAATTTTGTCTTTCAAAATGAGCGCACGCGTGCGTGGGGAGGGCAGGTGAGGGCAGGCACGTGCAAGTGTACGCACCGGCCCCCAGCGCCTTTCCCCCCCACCAGCCCATCGGCAAAAAAAGTTGCGAAACCCTAATCTAGGCTATTTTAAATACTGTATTCTCCTGTATCTCCATGCCCACACTATGGGTAAGGCTATATTCTGAAGCACACCTAGTTCAGACAGGACTTTCTCAGTGACTTCTCCCAGGCTGTGGAGCACAGTTGCCTCCATGTTATCTTTCTTCTTGCAGACAAAGTTTGCAATCAGGAATACAGCTATGGGTGGCATTGCCCATCCAAATAAGAATTCTACCCCTCCCACAAGATTTCCCACCCTTCAGTCCCCAGATTTCTTGCTTTGGAGAGAGTAAGACACTGAAAACTGTTCACACCAAGAACCTCCTCTGTTCCTATTCTCTTGGTTACTTTGCCTTCCCCAGCTCTTTGGATGTCTAAACTGTACTTATAAATGTTCAACTGAAGTTGTGAGCTACTGGAATGTTAGAAATTCGGAGACTGAATGAAAATTTCATTTGGGTAGGAAAAATTCTTATGGGGGGCAAGCACCCCTCCCTGGCTACAATGGTAAGCCATGTCTTTGGGAACTGACCTTGCTTGCTGAAAGGGAGTATTTTAACTGGTTAAGAGCTTTATTTTTTATTTTTCTAGTGTTTTAGTGTCTGTGTGTGTGTGTGTGTAAATCCAACTATTAGATGGAATTTATTCACAATTCAGCATGTCCAAAGATTGCAGCCATAGTCCTGACATTTCATTACAATGGTGAAGTATACACACCATGATCAGGAGGGAGGAAGGATGAAAGAAGCTTGGTAGACAGTCTGGCCAGTAAACATTCAAATTTCATAATGTTATAAGCATTTGCCAGCATGGCATAGTGGTTTGAGCACTGGACTAAGATTCTGGAGAGCAGGATTCAAATCCCAGATCAGTCATGTAAACCCACTGGGTGACCTTGGGCAAGTCATGCTCTCTCAGCCTCAGAGGATGGCAGTGTCAAATCTCCTCTGAAGAAACATGTCAAGAAAACCCATGATAGGTTTGCCTTAGAGTCGCCATAAGTCAGAAATGATTGAAGGAACACAACAACAACAACAACAACAAATAGGCATTTGGCCAATCATCAAATTTCTCCTACAATCTGAAGGACATGCCTTCCTTGTTAAAAATACAGTGTTACAAAATTCCTCCTCTTCTAGTGTAAAGGCCCAGTGCTCCCCTTTCCCTCCAGCAAGAAAGAAATTGAGGAAAAATCAAAATTAATAAAAATTATACAACCATACAGTTCTTTTGGTGGGGGGGGGGGATGTATGTTTATTTTGTTTCATTTTCCTGCAATGTCTACTGATTTTTTTTTAAAAAAAAAACCTAGCCTCTGCTTAGAAATAAGATACTGTTACTTGTGTTGGGGATCGTCTCTGACTGTTCTGTGACAAAGGTAATGTCATGTGTCTGTTTTTATTCCATAGGTTTTCCCCTCTATCGTAGTAAATATTTATGCTGCTAAAATAAAATAAAAAAAGAACTGAGTGCAAATATTCAATGTTTATTATGGGGGCAGAGGGTAGAAATGGAAACTCACAAAAATAATAATTCTCAAAAATCAGTTTTAAACAGGTTGTGTGTATTTCTGGAGCTTATTGCACTGCTAAATAAACCGTCTTACCTCTCCTGAATTCAATCTTAATTTGGGCAGCATCTGGATACAATCACAGGGATTTTGCCACTGAATCCACTGCCCACATCCAGCCCAGGTCCCAGGGGCACTCCAATAGCCATTTTCTTAAGTCAAAAAACTCCCAGTTTCGAAAAGAGACATGCCGAGAGCCCCTGGAACCCAGGCTCAATCTGGGATGGATGCTGGCAGTGAATTCAGCAGCAAAATCCCTGTGATAGTATCCATATGCTGCCCAAATTAAGACTGAATTTGAAAGAAGTAAGAAGTGATGCGATATTTTAGTGATGTGATAAGATCCTCTGTGTGTGTGTGTGTGTGTATGTGTCAGTGTCTCTGTGTGTATTCTAAGTAATAAAAAGAATTACTTGAGTGAAATTATCACAGACAATTGAATGTTATATATGAATGAGATGGTAGCAACACAGATTAATAGAAGAGAAACCAAAGGCAACATCTTGGCAAAGTTACACACTTTTAAAGTTCCGTGGTAATGCTTTCATTGATGTTCACAGAAGTTAACTTTGGCTAATTTGTATCCTTCTATTTTCTCCAAAAGTGATATTTCTGCATGAACATCCATCTTGACTATAACTAGCATTCTCAGTGTGCAGCACCCTTGATGTTTGGCCTTACATCATAGTACATAATTCAAATCATAAATGCAGGCTGTTGGTGACCTATGTAGTCTTCCTTCTGAGACTAATAGGCAAACAGCAGGGAGTGAGTTTTTCCTAGTAAACAGTGGGAGGGTTTGTTCAGTGAAGATGAAATTTCCACCTGTACTACCAGATTGCAATGCGTCCTGTCTTTTAGGATATCACAGCTTTCACTAACAATAATTTAAAGCAGCTAAGTCGATAACTTCCTTCTTCTTTGGAGTTTATTTTGATGTATTCTCTTGCTTCCCTCCTGCCTCTACCTTCTTCTCTATTTTTCTTGCCTAAAGTAGTATCAAAGTCTTTTAGTATGATGAAGTAGAATGTTTGATCTTTTCTGTTTGTTTTTTTGTTTTGTTTTGTTTTTTGGGGGTAGTATGTCTGTCTTGATCCAGCATATTATCTTGTGTGTGCCACAAGATTATACTTAGAGAAGGGCCATGAGGAGGAAGCTGAGAAAAAGAAAAATAATCACACATGAAAAGGGTTTCAGTTGACTGCATGAGTTTTAAGCAAATGTAAAGAGCTTTTGGCAGCACAAGAAAACTTGAAAAATATGCTGTGGCTTAGAAACTATTCTTCTAATATATATCATATTTGTGGGCTATTTCTCTTTCCTCATTTTTTACTGGTGAATACATTTGCATGAAAACAGAATCACTATTTCTTATCATCTCTTTGACTCTTGTTGCTTAATCTATAAAGACTGAAATGATGCTGGTTAACAAGGATTAGTTCTGACTGGGTGGTTCTGGTGCTTCTTTGTTGATTTTTCTCTTGAGGAATAATTTTAAAGCATTTAAACATTAAAGTTCAGGGCTTTTCTAGGGTCTTGTCTACACTGGGGGGGGGAATGCTGAACTCACCTCAAAGCTGGCACTGGTAGTCCTCACAATGTATACTTCTGGGAAGATACTGCAGTTTCTGACCCTTAGCCTGGCTGCTCCAAAACTTTCATTTCTTTGGGTCAGTAGGCAGCTAGATTGAGCCCAGTTCAACCTGATTCATTGTCTGCATGCCAAGAGCCATTCCACCCCCTTCCCCATGTTGATCAGCACAGAGAAAAATGATGGCTTGTTTTCAAAGCCACCACTACCACCTCTTCACAGGCAGGAGCTCTGTGTAAAGCCAGACTGGTGTGTCATTGCTTTTACTGGTCAGAAACAGACTCCCAGACATGATCAGCAAGGAGTCCTGTTTCTGTCCTCAACCACAGTGGCAGCACAGTGGCCAGGCATTATATGGAGCACCTTCCTTCAAGGAAGTGGTGGTGGCAGCTCCAAAAATAGGCTGCCATTGCTGCAGCTTCACTGCCCAAGCAATTCCTTGAGAGAACCTGGCAAGTGCAGTTGCATCTGCTGAGATCAGAACAGGGTGCCCGTGAGATCAAGAAGAACTGCCTCCTTCTTACAATGCTTTGGGTCAGGGTCATTTTCCCCACCACAGCTGCAAAAAACAAAAAACAACCCAGAAAATGTCTGTACAGTACTTTTTAAAGAAAAAGCAGTTATGTTTGACATCAGTATATTAAAATTTTATGACTAAAGCTATAGGGAATGATGACAAATTATGTCAGGATATTTTTAAAAGTTATCTCACCTTTTCTTTCTGCTTTTCTTGCCAAAGAAATCAGAAATAAGATTTTCAAAAGATACAGATGTCAGAAGATCCCAGACAGTGACAATCCCAGATTGTAACATTGTGGAATGTAAGATATTTTTAAATAAAGGCCAGTGGGGGAAAATGCTCATTCCTCTTCACAATTTGAAACTGGCAGAATTAGATAAAAGGGGAAAGCTATGATAACTTTTGGAAAAGCTTCAATATGAGGCCCATTCACACTGCAGAATTACAGTCCTGTTATTCCACTGTAACCGCCATGTTTCCATTCTGTTGACTCCTGGGACTGGAAGTTTAGGGAGGGGGTATTTAAAATTCTCAACCAGAGGACTCTAGTGTCTCAACAAACTACAAACTCCAGGATTCTATGGGATAGAATCAAGCAATTAAAGTAAAACAATAGCACTATAATTCTGTAGTGTGAGTGGGCCCCGTTTTTCATTTGTAAATGTAAATTATCTTCAAATTGTTATTTACAATAAACTGATATACAGAGCAACTGTTACATTCAATAGAACAATCATTCCTCCATCTTAGATTTCTCATCCAGCCATTAGATCCATGTATTTAAATAATGCAGTGTTGGCGTGTTTGTGCAACCAGCAGTCCACAATGCCAAAGTAGTATGCCTGGATCAAGCCCCAAAGAGGCACTCTGAGCTCATGCAGGTTGGAGAAATCCTTCTCCCACTCACAGAAGCAGCAAATGGAATGACACACTGAGTTCTCACTAAGAGGTACTTTAATCTTCGTTCCTTAGTTTACAATTAGTGCTCACACAGACAGAATCTCTCACCTATACAAATCACCATCCGAAATCCACATTGGGCACTAAAGCTCCTCCCTAATATACATTCACCATCCTTAAGCATTTAGTCCAGACTCTTCCCAGTGTGTCGCCTCTACACATGTCCCCCATATGGCATGACTCTGCACTTTCTGCTACTTGATGATTTTACATCCTGCCAAGATTGCATTAGACCCCAGTGACTCATCTGGGTCCAAATGCTTACTCATCATGGCTTCCTTTTGACCCATTGTAACCCTGTTAACTTTGTCCCACATCTATACATTTTCTAGGATACCAATATCCTAACATGCAGATCCTCTACTGTATCTAACAAATAATTCAAATTTTTTAGATAAAGAGACAATTACAGTTCATTTGATTAAGCCTTCACTAAACTTCTGAAGATGGCTAATAAGATGACTAATGGGGCACACCAAGAAATTCCAGGGAAAAAATCAACATATGCTTTATTGACTATAACAAAGCATTTAACTGTATAAATCATGAAACACTATGGAATGCACTCAAGGACATGGGGGTCCTACTATATCTGATAGACCTGATAAAAATTTAACAAGGACAAGAAGTCACTGTCAGAACTGAATTTGGAGAAACAGAATGGTTTCTAATAGGTAAAGGAGTCAGGCAATTTGTGCCACCTATATACTGAAAACATCATATGAAAAGCAGAGTTAGACTTGGAAGAAATATGAGTGAAAATAGGAAGAAGGAACATAAAGAACCTAAGGCATGCAGATGACACAGTAATACTGTGGAAGACATCACAGAATTGAGACAGTTACAAAGAAAGGTCAAAAACAAAAGTGCAAAGGCAGGATTAATGTTGAACATAATGAAAACTAAAATAATGACCACAGAAGAAATACATAAATTTAATCTAGACAATGTGGAAATTGAAATAGTCAGAAAATTCCCATACCTAGGATCAAACATTGATCAGAGCGGTGACTACAGTCAGGAAATAAGAAGATTAAGAATGGGTAAGGTAGCTATCAAAGAATTAGAAAAGATCCTAAAGAGTAACAATATACACTTGAGTACTAAAATTAGAATCATACAGGCCATTGTATTCCCCATTGCCATGTACAGATGTGAAACCTTGACACTAAAGGAAGCAGAAAGAAAGAAAATCAATTCATTCAAGATGTGGTGCTAGAGAAGAGGGCTTAGG